GTCCGTCTCTCTGATGCATTCAGTTCAATTTACTTGTTCCGTTCCCCTACCCGTCGGTCCGTCCAACGAGACAGAGTTTCTCAGATTCCGTATTTTGACGGACTGACTGAGTGATTAAGTTAAACTCCATATGACTGATTGGCTCAACATTTGGCACTCATCATTCCGTGCCGGTCAGACCTGTTGGCTATGTGTATTTCATGAAATGAATCTCCAACTGTCAGTACAGCGGCCACAGTTCCAAGTTCATCACGAACATAGATGGGAACTATCTGGATAGACTCATCTGCAAAATGGTTGAACTAGGCGGTGAGTGTGAGCGAAAGAGTAGCTTCTAATACTCTTTGTGTTTGTGATTTTAGTGTCCAAAAGTGTATGAGAGAGAGGATATGCAAAATATGAAACGTGTATTGTGTGTGTGTTAAAATATGCAACTCACCCAGAGATGGAGACGTTGACTACCATTTTAATATTGACTCGAAGTTCATTGGTTAGGGTACCGACTACATCCGCCAGTTCACTTGAACCTCTGCAATGCACAGATACAGAGAGGAAAAACGAGAATCATTAACACACAGTGGATAAAAAAGTGAAACGCAAAACGTTGATGGTAAGGAGTATTCTCTAAACTGTGACAGTCTATCATCTAAGGATTATAGATGAAATGATACATACTTCTTTCTCTTCTGAGAGACAAAATCAAATTGCATCGTCAATAAAGTTCCAAACAATTGAACTCAAGTTCAAAGGGGTCATGGAAGCTATACTACTGATCATACTAACATTAAAAACAATAGTAAAAGAGTTTACTTCAAAGTTATGGGACAAACAATAAAGGTAAAAAACATGTTCGGGTAGGATTCGAACTCAGGTGCATGGGTAGTCACCGAATGTCGCCAGAGCGTGACCGCTTGTAAATGGTAAAAATAGTAACAAATGCGAGTCGAGGATCCCGATTCATCATAATCACACCACATCCTCACTCTTCAAAAAATATCAAGCTCATTTTTAGCTGGTCAAACTTCTTGTGCCTGAATCAAATTGCAGACCTCAGGTGCACGAGATAGTCTTTAAAATCATTTTTCTTGAGAGATTCTATTTTGAACTGGAGCGTAACCCTTTCCATTTATTTGGTTTTACTCAAATTCTATTCTGGCCGTGTCCTGTCAATTTATGCGGTTCATTTCCAGTTTTGTCGTTCCCTTTATTTCGCGTTTCAGTCACAAACCTATTGATTTTGTTGACCGTTCAATCTAAGAACTTCATTTTGTTTCACTAGTTACCTCGATTATGCCTAAGAGTTACGAATTTATTGTAAAACGGTCAGCTTTGATTCAGTTCTACTCGACAGACTTCCCCTCTCGTTTAACTATTTTGCCTCAAAAAGTGTTCTGTCGAACTGTGTAGTCTGTTTTCTGAAGCTATGCGATTTCTATTCAAATGAAATGCAAGCTTTCACCTAGGGTTCATTCAATTGCATTGCAGCACATTCAGTATTGCTACAAGATTATTGGTTTTGCCATACGACTAAGTATCGGGAGACTATTGATCGGCGCAGCTTCCAGGTTTTCTTCGTAGACAACTTTATCTTATTCCTACCTAGGATCATCGGGTGGTATTTCCTTCAAGGTGCACATGAGTGTTGACTTTAAAATTTGTAACCGGTAGAAGTGCCAGTAGTCCTAATGAGTTTTCGTGAATAGTCTTCCATACACAAACTTTGTCCAAAACGCAAATACTATCCAAAAACACTAGAGTAATCGGTTGGGAAACCTCCACTTCAGGATGTAATGTATCTGCTTTATCAGCAACGAACAAACTCACTTTTTGACCATTTGTAAATAACACTGCGATCTGTTTGTCAGACAACTTAAGGGGACCGTGCTCATTTATTTCACTTTTTATTATCCACACGTTTCCGAATAACGGGTCACAACTGTGTCCCGGTGTTTATGTTACTCTCGGTAACCCACGCCACTGAATTCGTATCCAGCTTCGTACTTTGCTTGCTTACCCAGCAACCTAACCGTGGATTCCACCCTTCTTTTTTATGACCGTAAACATTCTTTTGACTGAGTACCATCAGCACAGTCTCCAAAATCAGATTGCTGATATTTGCCAACAAGCGTCAGGGTTCAAAACCTCGAACCACCACAATAACAACGTACCCCACACAACTATTCACAAGAAAATGTGAATTAGAATAAAAAAAGACTCATGAAGTGAGCCAAAATCGTGATATCTACGGGTAGTCGCTCCGACAACTCGTTCGGAAATGCGCTACTCAGGGGAAACACCCAAACTGGACCGTACCATGTTATCGTTTTCCAAGGTTTTCCTCTGAGCCTATGAATGCAAGAAACAAACCAACTGTAAATGGTTGAGCACCTTCGGATTGGTATGTGTGACTGAGCTCATTGCTTCGCTGGCGGGATCATTTGAATGCAGTGATACACTGTAAAATTCGTGCGCACTTGCCACCAGATGGCCGGCAGTAAGTTTTTCACTGATCCAATCTGAAATAAATGAGTACAACGCAGCACTAGGCTCCTTTTCAGTACAATTCGATCTGATCGTAGTTCGTGCACCGCAGGTTTAAGTTAGCTTGGTACATTTTGTGGCCAATGGCGGCACATGAACACCGATCAGCGATCAAAATCAATTTTGTGGAAAGATTTCAATACATAAAGTACCACTGGACTAAAACGACCTGATCTTCGAATAGATAATAAAATCCGGATAATGTACATATTCTGCCCTCGGCCAGTTGAACTTACAGAATGACTGAGCTGTTCACATAAAAATGAGCCATCTGTACGGTCAGCTGATGTCCAACCACGTTCCAACGAATCGAGCATCGAACAGTCTCGCCAGCGAGCAAAGGATTGGCAAGGTGACATATGGCAGCATCCGGACGCAAACTCTTACCTAAGCTGGGCTGTTTTACGGGCAGTCCAGAGAATCATCGTCAGACCGAAATGATTTGTTGGGTAGTAGGTGATCCAGAACAAGTACAACGGGATATGTGATGGGCGGGTTGGAGGGGGGTGGGGTAAATAGATGCATGGATATGGAATAGAATAACCAGTAAAAGTATTCTAGTGTTCATTCGAATATTTGATCTGTAACGGGAATTCCTATACAAAGAACGAAAATAATGGACAGACAGAAAGAACCAGAGCTTTCCGTTTTATCGATAACGTAATAAAACAACGAAATCAATCACCCGTTGAACCCAGACAGGTTATCTCATTCCTATCCTGTGGGATTCACCGCATTGCACGAATCCGGTTTCAAACCGTCACAAGCTAGGTGGGGAGACACTGTAGATGGCTCTCAATTGGGAGAAAATAACGGCACAGAGGCATTTTAGTGGGACGTGTCACACGTTAAAATTTCATGACGAATCACTTTGCAGTCCTTCAGTCTACTAGGACTCAAGTAAAGAAGCAAACTTATCAACCTTTGTGAAAGCAACAATTGTAATTTATGAAACCAGTTAGATCATCTCACACCAAAGAAAGGAATAATCAAGATCAAATAAGTATATTTTCGTTCTCTTCCTTTATATATGCGGACCGGAACGCTGTAAAACAAAACTTTCATCGTGTTCACCCATGCAAATGAATGCTGAAGAATCAAGAGGTATGATGAAAAGAGGGAGAAGTTTGCGGTGAATGGTTTTCAGCATAACAAGTTTACTTACTATAGATTGCTGACTTATAAACAACTAAATACACGTGTTTGCTTCCATTCTGTTTATCGATTATCGAAATGTACAATAAAATTTCATAAAGCGAACCACGACCATGCAGAAGTTGCCTGGAAAAATACAGCTAATGGGGAGATGAACAGCGATGGTAGGGTACGAATTCAGCACACCCAAACTTAGAATGTTCTTTGTTTGGTCTCAGCGGATTCACAGACAGCCGGGATCTGTGCACTGTTCCCATTGTATGGATCCAACCCATCATGGATCTTTTAGTTCCTCGCTCGCTTGAAATATTTTTATCTGTTGTAAATTTTTGTGCTGCCAACAGCTGTTTTCACCTTGGTGAGATTGATCAACAGCGCGTATTTTTTATTTCCCCACGGGACTTGAACCGCGACTCCTTACCATTGAGTTAAAAGGTCGACAATCAACGATTTGAAGACACAGCTAATTCAACTAATTTGACGTGTTCTTGGTTAAGCCTGTACGAGTACGAAAGCATCAGAGTTTGTGTATTGTTGATCTTTGAGTATGACTTATGTTACGAAGTTTTCCTTCACTGTAGGACAACTTGTACTTGTTTGATTTCGCCGACAAACACACCTGTGTGCCACTGCTGCTCCGTGTTATTAGACTTATAGTCTATTGCTCTCGTCTGTTCAGCAAGCCAAATCGGATTAAATTGTGCCTACTGAAATATGTATGCAATCAAATTGGAGGAAGAGTGCGCATGCCAAAATCAGGCTGTCTGTTGCACATATGAGTTAATGTGTTCTGCGTATGCATACCCATGCATGGTCATGATGAAGCACGATTTACGTGGTGTCTTTCACACACACACACACACACACACACACACACACACACACACACCGGGTTGCAACTTCTTTATAGAATAAATTGCAACCCAAGCATTCAAGCATACTACAGGTCTTTCTCGCCTACGCACGAGTTGATTACTTGCCCCAAATCCAGAGGTCACCACATAAGGCAGATAGATATATAAATGTACATGCACCGGTGGATAACCGCTTTTGGGCTGAGTATCGCAGCATGGCCAAGTCAAATTGTGAATGTGACCTTGATTTTGTCTGTATCGGAATCCTAACTGTTCGGAGAACTACTTACCGTTCGAACATCTTGTGAATTGACCGTGCAAGATCGGAAGGCGTCAGTTTCACTACAGTTGCCGACCGGGTTCATCTTGAGGACTATAGTAGAGGTCATGCGTAAGCCCAATTGGACCACCAACACGCGTTTTATGTGTACACATACTCGCACACACACACATACATGTACTGGTATAGGTTTTATTTGCGCCAGTGAAAAGTCACTGCACCATCATCTATGTATGTATCANATCTATGTATGTATCATGATTTATCACTTGTCCTGTTAGAATAGGACATACCCTGTTCGAAAGCTGCACCTGACCAAACACTATGCCAAATGTCATAGCACGATGAAAACATAATATGGGGCAATTCCTGCATACCTGAGTGTGGGCTTATATAAGAAGGTGGACTAGTGTGGCACATTGAATACCAATCTAATAAACAAAAATGCCGCGGCAAGTTTTGAGCATGCTCCAATTCGAACATATCGTTTTCACTGAGGAATAATCAAATAGCAGATTTGCATTCTGCACCAAGATCAATGATCGCGCCGTTCATGTGAATTCATGCATCTGAGCGCCTTTTTTGTACAAAGCGACTCTATGAACTGATTCTATGCACACCGGTATGCCTGATGATCCAATGCACATGTTCTTCAAGGTATCAGTCTGTTCAACCGCGACGGAAAAGGATTCATACAATAAATAGCCTCATTTTTGCACAAACAGGCAATCGATCCGATAGCCACACACCGCTCAGTTTGCAGAAAAAATTATAAATGGCTCCTGGTATTCTCCGGATGTGTTTGTATCTATCGGGATTCCAAGGCGGTGTGTTTGAGCATTACGGGAACAGGATAAAAACAGATTGCGGTGTTCGAACACCGCTGTCTACGTAGCACTGCACGAGTCATGTGGGGTAACTGGACGAGCAATGCTGAGGTTGGGTGTAGAGTTCTAAACAGTCGCGGTCGTCCACTGGAGATAGTGATCGATCTCAATAGATAACGTTGTTTGGGGCATGTGTTACGCATGCCACTAGATAGATTGTCACGGCGAGACAGGTAGCGGTTGGAAAAAGGTCTACATGTGCTACGCATGTCACCAGATAGGTTGCCACGGCGAACGATATTTGCCAAGGCTGGTAGCGATTGGAAAAAAACGAAGGGTTTCAAGCTAAGACCTGGCATGAGGGTATGAAAACCCTAACCAGGAGACTAGGTCACATAGGTCTCGTTAGGCTCCCTGGTTGGGACCCCGAGATGATGTTCACCGATGGTTAGAGACACTGAATGATATGGCCGGGTATCGCAAACAGTGGCGCTCGTGCATCTACGCACTATTCTCCTAACTCCAGTCTATACGAATTCTTCATCTTGCGCTTGAATTCGGTTTCAACATTACTGTCTTCATTCTGCTCTTTTATCCAAATGGGGCACCAAAATACAGTAACCAAAACCGGCGCATGAAAGTGCATGGTTAATGGTTGTAAAGATTGAAATTGAACTGTTTGATGAACCTTACTTTTCGGTCAACAAAGTAGAGGACCTGAAAATGAGTTAATACATTAGAGCGCATATTTATGTTCACCTGAACTCAGATACAATGAACCCTTGTCCGGTTGATTGACTTTTGGGTTTCATTTGACTCTCTGTGAATCGGCTATCAGTCTGGAGAATCCAATTTAATGATGGGACACCTAAAAGGTAAACTACTCTGTTAAAGGGGACACGAGAGTGCACGTTCAATCTCGGAGGGAAGAGTTTGCAGGGTTTTAGCTCGATTCGGGAGTCCTGTTTATTCCCAAAATACACAGGGTAATGCGTCAGGATTTCAGCGACCGTGATGAAATCTAATTCGGTGGGAGAAATGCATTGTCGAGCTTGAATAGGCTCATGACGTCAATATGATAATCAGTAATCTGTACAGGTCCGTATTGAGAATATAAAGATAAATCCATCTATATGAAGACAAGCATCTCAAATAATAATAATAATAATAAATTTAATAAATTTCCTAGACCCACAACGCCTCATCCACTCCGACGGTGAAACACTGGTGCACAACTTCAAGTATCTAAGATCTTTCAACCACAAGAACGGCTAAGTCATAGTTTTGGTTATATTTCACAATGAATCTATAATGGCTCTACAAATTTGAAAACCCTCATTGTCTCGCAAAAAAACAAGTGTCCGATCAAAAGTGCGAGTTTATTGAGCCGCTGTTAACCCCTTCGTTTCATACGTTCACAAAACCCAACCACTGGTAGTAAATGACACGAAGAAATCGACAATCTTTGATCACCGGCCCTTGCGATAAAAAATAGCAAGGTAAAGTTTCACATTCCACCCTACATAGGTAATGTAAGGATATAAGGAGGCTGTCCTTGATTTTTCAATGGGAAACGTTTTCAGTGGTCCGACCACGTACTTTGCCTAGTTGAAGTAGAACTAATAAGTAAATAAGTATATATTACGGACTCCTTGCTGCGGGGACTAGCTTGAGCTGTGTGTGAACCCAGTCGAATTGGATATGGATCGTCTGGGTGTTCAGCCGATTTCTAGAGTGCTCATCTGGCACAATAACTGGATTTCGTGCTGGATCAACCTTGCCTTGACGGGCAACGAAACCTCAGCGACATCTAAGAGGCTCATGTGGAGTAAAGTTGTATAAAAAAGGAATTTAGGATGGGCAGTAAAAACTAACGAAAGACGGGGTTAAAATTATTCGGCGGAATGTGGAATTATCTAAAATTGATCTCAGTGGTTAGCTCCAGGGTAGTTATTTCAAGAGCACATTCTTATCGTGTCGTACGTCATCGTCATCACCGTCATCAAGTGTATTGCAGTGAAAATTTATGACTGTTTCAGTGGGGCGGCTTGATGAGTGATGGATTGATGAGTGTACGCAGTGGCATAGATTAGAACACAAAACTGAGTCACGACGCATCTAAACAGTGGTCCATCATTTCTGATCGATATGCAAGAGTCTGAGGCCCAATGAAAGGCTGAACA